GAAGAGATAATGTGTCCCCAATGGGGGGATTTTGGGAATCTATGTGAGATACTGACTTTTATCCAGGAAGAGCTCTGTTTTAGTTTTACTTTTTACAGAAAACATAATAGCAGTACACATTTGCTGGACACTGTAAGAAAATTCAGTGCATGTTCCCAGGGACTCATCATCGAATTAAGGCCATTAGCATTTCTGGTGCTGTCACCTCTTTGTTTGGAGGAGTGGTGCCCCTCTCTTGCTCTCTCCTAAAGCACACCACTTTCTTCTCTCTGCCCTGTCGCCTACTGTCCCCCAGGGCCCCATCCTCTCTTGCCCTCTGGAGTTGCTTCCCCTCTCTAGCCTGTCCTCCTCTTCTCTGAGGACATGTTTGGTTTCCAGGTACGAGGGGGAACCCGGGCCACTTCTCAAAAGAAGATGGAAATGGTCACAGGGTCCCTGAGGGGTGCCACTCAGCCCCCGCCAGTCCCCAGGGAAGTGTGAGTCCAAACCACAAGGGTGGCACCCAGTCATGACGGCTCTCGTTAGAGAGACGGATGGGCAGACTCTGCTGAGGATGCGAGGGGAGAACATCCCTGCCACTGCTTCTGGGGCCCTAAGTTGATAATCACCACCACGGGGAAGGGAGGGCATGCTTGGTCTCGAAAACCGGAAAGAGAACTGCTGCGTGGTCCAGTCACCTACTCGCAGGTGTATTCCCAGAGGAAGTACAATAAAACCCCTCCCTCCAGTTTGTGTTGCCGGGCTATCCATAACGGCAAAGACGCTGATTCACCGAGGTGGCCGTGAACACGTACATGGACACAGTAAACGTGACAGCCTCCCCCAAACGCCATGAGATATTATGCAGCCATAATAAGATTGGATCCCGTTGTATGTGGTATAGTGGATGAACCTCCAGGGCTCTGTGGCCAGTGAAAGGGTGGCTTTTTCATCCCCTCTAAGCAAAAGGGCGTGCGCGGTCTGATGTGTAAAAAGACAAGCTCACACAATGCTTCGTAAAGCACTCAGATATATCATCACAGTTAGTCCTCATGATATCCTCTAAGGTGGCTACACCTCTGTAATGCTACAACTTTATGAATAATAAAAGTGAAGCTATCATTTAATGACTAGGGCAAGGCGGAAAATATAAATGAGAAAGCCCCGAGTCTCCTAATGTTACGCAAGTAACATTGAAAACTTGAATCTCCAGTGATGTCAGTGCAGTACCTGGCTCTGTATGAAGTGTATCCCTGCTTGCGGTTCCTAACTTAACCTGGAGTTACACTCTTTCTTTGGAAAACTGGTTGAGCATAGGAACCGTGGCCACACCTTCCTTTCCCTGGGCTTGCATGGAGGCAGCAGACTTAGTTACTATCTCCTCAACATCAGGGGCATTGGAGAGTAGTGCTACAGTACTTCCTGACAGTGTGTGTGTGGGGTGTCCCTGGAATTCATTCATTCATTCATTCATTCATTCATTCATTCATTCATTCAAAGATAACTGTTAGGTCCCCAAAGTAGTTCCCCACATGGCCATGCTGCTGACAATGTCCTAAATGATAGTCTGGACTCAGCTCAGGCTGGACCCTGACTGGGTAAACAGAAGAATTCTCAGCACTCCTTAATCTTGCAAAGCTGGTTTCCATTTGTCAGGAAAAGTCACTACTTCCCCAGATCCACCCCATAAAGCCACCTCTACCCTCTATGACCAACTACCTCTAACAAGGCACCTAGTCCCTGATTAACTCAAACAAGGCTGCAATCGATCAAAGTCCCCACATGGGTCGCACACTGTTCTGGCTTTCAGGCCTCCATACTACCTATCCCTTTAAACCTGTCTAGGCCAAGTGAGGCCACTTCCCTCCCTCATACAGCTGAATCAGGGTAAGAGGCAGACTGAGGGCGGAGGGTTAGTTCAGGAGCTTACCAGGGATATTCCTCAGCAGGGTGGCTTTTGCAAAGTGAACCAAGAGACAGGAGGGAATGCGCGGGAAGCCCGACAGAGAAAGATGGAAACCAGCGGGTGGAGGAAGGAACCAGCCGGTGGAGGAAGGAGGGATGCTGAGGCTCGGGTTCAGGAGGCATAAGGTCTATATAAACTCAAAGCATCACTCCGCCCATCCTTTCAGACTAGTGAGGCCATGCCAGCCCAGGATGCACATGGTGATAGCTGAGTCAGGATGTTGCAGGGGACGCAAGCGGTAGGTGGGTATGACCTGTGATTGGAAGGCAGCTCCAGCAGGGTTTTCTCAGGGTTACTAGTGTAGAAAGAGAGGGTCACCCTGATGCTGATGGTTTGGACCCAAACAAGTGAGAAACGGGTATTGTACCCTTTAGTGGGGAGATCAGGGAATAATCTGAGCATTGGTGGGCAGATGTGTCGCCAAGAAGCACATGTTGGGCAGGATGGAGCTGTGTGATGATGAGCAGCCAGGCCCTAGATCACCCATCCAGACTGTCAGTAGTGACCTGGCCCAGGAAGAAATATTTAGAACACCTTACTTATATTTTTGAGAGACAATTTCTTGTAGTCCAGTCTGGTGTCAAACCTGATCTGTCTCTGCCTCTTGAGAGCTGGGCTACAGTTGAGCACTACCTTGATCAGGTCATGTCTGGAAGTAGGACTTAGAGCATCCTGCATGCCAAGCAAGCTTGCTTGCTCGATTTCTAGACCAATCTTCCACCTTTAAATATTGGGAGCTGCATTAGAGTCAGTTTTAAAGGATGTTGCTGGATGTCAGTAATCTTCAGACATCATGCTAGAGTTTTTCCTCTGCCCTTATATTAATATTTCTCATCTGCAGGAAGCTTAAAGACTCTCAAATAGGCACCTGGTTTGGGGTTCTGTTTCTTCAGAAGCTGACCTAAGATGTATAGGTGCACAGATAACCTTGCCAAGGGTTCATGCATCAGACAGACTCAGGAAGATAACACTCTTTTTAGTGTATAAAACATAGATGAACAAAGAATACAAAATCACTGTGCACATCACCTCCCGTGGAGAGCCACTATTAATGGTTCTCATAGTCATGTCTTACCTATGCATTAAAATGTTAAATTATAACACTTGCTATGTAGTTCTATACTTGCTTGTTCGCTAAATCATATAAGCCTGGGAAATCTTATCAGCCATTACACAGCCCTTGGAAGCTTCCTTTATAAGGGATGCATAGAAATCTAGGATTTTGACAATCAAAATGGCAAATTGGGGTCAGCCTATTTCCTAAGCTGTAGATAAGATAGACTTAAATCCTCATATAATAGATTGTAGGAAGTTCAATGCCCTCACCAGGATTTCTGTAAATTACTAGGGGTGTTATTTTCTCGCCAGCAATCCTGGCTCTGCATGCAGGCTTCCATTAAATGAGTTCTCGTAGAGTCTTGTGACTGCCTCGCGTAGGATTTCCTTGTCTCTATCACACTGGCCAGATGTGAATTTCAGTTATTTTCCTTATCATATTAAAAAAAATAATCACAGGAGACATCTGAACACGTGACTGGCTGGAGGTCTGGGGAGCTGGAGGGTCCATGCCACTGTTGCCAAGCTGGAGAACTTCGGTCAGCATCCCCAACACACAACTTTTGGAAAATAGTTGTGCTTTTAGCAGTGTGTTTTCCTTTGCTCTAGTCCCTTTGCTCTCAGAAGGGAATCTCTACATTTTTATCTTCTTAGGTACCACCAGGTCACTCACGGAAAGGGGGCCAGGAAAGGCCGCAGTATTCCACTTACAGGGGGCATGCAATAATCCCTCCATCGTTATTATGACCACTACTCATTTTAGTCACTTTAAATAACTCTGATCAAGGTCCTTGTGGCTGAATCCGCACCGGTATTTTGTGGCTACCATCTACCCCTGGAGTGAGAATAGCTACACAATGCACAGTGGTTTGGTGTGTCTCTACAGCGGTGAGCATGAGCAGGGAATGTGACTCCCATTGCTTCCTGAACCTTTCAGAAACTGCCTACATGTTACTGTGGGGGAGCACTAACTGATGTGTTCCACAGAATAAGAGTGTCTTTCTAGGTTAGCCTTAGTCTCCTAGAATCCCCCCCTCTGTGTGTGTGTGTCTGTGTGCCTGTGTTTGTCTCTCTGAGTCTCTGTGTCTCTGTGTGTCTGTGTGTATGTCTCTCCATCTCTCTCTCTCTCCCTGTGCCTGTGTATGGGTGTGTAAATCTCTGTTTGTCTGTCTGTGTACGTGTGTGTCTGTGTGTATGTCTGCCTATATGTCTGTGTGTCTTTGTATCTGTTACGGGGATGACATAGCTGTCCTGTCAAAGTCTGAGTGCGCATCAGGCACTGATTCTTAGCCTTTTGGCAAACCTGAGTCTTTGCCTTAACCATCATCGTCTCTAAAAGGAAGATCCTCTGTCCCAGGCTGAGGGCTGTGCTAATCCGTGGGAATACACACATGAACATGTAGAAGGCTTTTGACAGCATGTCAGTGCTTTCCCAGCCATAGATTTTCCACCAGGTTTATAGTGCCAGCTGTGCATCCCTTCCCCTGGAGTGGACTCTGAGTATAAAATGGTTGGTACCAGACATAACAGATGTGCCACTGTTGTTCCCCGTGAATAGGATTTGCCTTGTGGTTCAGCATCGCAGCACCCATGGTCGACCGCTGAATGAGTTAGCTGATGAGCTGTCTGCTTAGCAGCCTGCATAGCACCTTCAAGGACCTATCTAGCAGGAAGAGAGATTCGTACTCACTTAGATCTTTATTTCTTTGTGTCCTGTATCCAAAGCACATGATACCTTCAGTTTTGGGGTCTTATCTAGTTCAGGTGTGTTGGGCACTGCCCTGGAACCACGCCATGGCAAGATGGCGCTGACATCCGCCTGAGAGTTGCTATAACAACCCTGCTGCGCATGAGCAGGAGCTCCCTGCCCACGAGGCCGGGGGTGCCTGTGCCTTACGTCACCTCGGGTGACATAATTGAACCAGTAAATAACTGCCACGTCCGAGGCGAGAGAAATCCTCTATATAAGGAGAGTCCCGTTAGGGCGTGGGGTCTTCGCTTTGTGATAGCTTATGCTCCCCCTCTCAGGGGCAATAAAGCTTACTGCAGAAGGATCCTGATCGTGTGCCGCGTCATTCTTGCGGGCGAGATAGAGCGCGGGACAACTGGTGCCGAAACCCGGGAATAAAACTGACCAAGCCATCGTCCGCACCATCGAAGACCCCTTGGAAACGAGGAGGATTCAGAACTGCAGGCAGGTAAGTTCGGAGAGGTATGCTGATCTGGGACTTTGGTCTGGGGTTGTCTCCGCCTTGGGAGGGTTTGCCTGAAGCAATCGTCCTCCTTGGTATTGTTCTTGTCTTCTTTATACTGGTCACCTAAGCCTCCTGTAGATAAAGGGGCCTGAACAGTCTCTTCTGTCCTTTGCTTTCGTTTTTCCCCATTTGCTGTAAGACGGACGTAGATAAGCCGCGAGCATCTGTACCATTGGTAACGGTGGTGATTAGTCAGACGTAGGTAAGCTGCAGCCACCATGGGGTCCTCTCAATCCATATTAACTACCTTGGAGACTGTATTAAAGCAGAGAAATATCAAGGTTGACAGAAAGACGTTACGGAGCTTTGTCAAGGAGGTCGATCGTGTGGCACCCTGGTATGCCCTTTCTGGCTCTCTCACCCTGGCATCATGGAATAAGTTGGGGAGGGATCTTGATCGACACCTAGAGCAAAGAGACCTAAGGATAGGGACCAAGGCAGTATGGAAACTAGTGAAGAACTGTATTGAGGATGAAGCTTGCCAGGCGGCCGTTGTAGAGGGTCAGGCCATTCTCGAGGTAGCCCAGGATAGTATGTCAGAAACCGAACGTAGTGAGAGGTCAGGCGCGTGCGAGAAAACGGTGGTACACAAAAGAAAAACTAAGAAAAAGAGCCCTCCTGTTTTAGGAGAGAACATTATAGCAAAACCAGATGCCCTTCCTGGCCTTTCCACTAAAGGGACAGGTCAAATGTATCCTTTTAAAGAACTGGAGGCGCTGAACCTCGGCAGCTCCGCTAGTTCTGAGTCTTCTGATTCTGAACAAGACTCTCTAGACCCTGGAGATGAGACAGAATTAGAAGAAGAGGCTGCAAAGTACGAGGCGGAGAGATATCACCCGGATGGGGAGTTTTTCTCTAAACTGCTACCCAAGGGCAAGGCCTCAGCAAAAGCAATAGCAACTCCATCTGCTCCGCCTATGCCGCTCTCTCCCCCCCTTATGAAGGGCGTTTACATAGTTTCTCCTTTTTACCTGAAAAAATTAGAAGAAAGGTCCATCTCACCTTCCCCGTTTTCGAAGTAGAGAATGGAGGGCGGGTACATACTCCGGTTGAGTATAAACAGATAAAAGAATTGGCAGAATCGGTTCGTAATTATGGACCTAATGCCAACTTTACTATTATGCAGATAGAAAGGCTTGCCTTGGATCCCTAACTCCTGCCGATTGGCAGATGGTGGTGAAGGCAGTATTACCAAATATGGGGCAATATATGGAATGGAGAGCATTATGGCATGAGGCTGCCCAGTCACAGGCGAGGGCTAACGCCATAGCACTCACCCCAGAGCAGAGAGAATGGAATTTCGATCTACTTACAGGACAAGGAGTCTATGCTGTGAACCAAATTAATTACCCTTGGGGCGCATATGCTCAAATAGCCACCCTGGTAATTAGGGCATGGAAGTCACTTACGCAGAAAGGGAAGGCAGGTGGACAACTTACCAAGATTATACAACAACCTCAGGAGCCGTTTTCCGATTTTGTGGCAAGAATGACGGAAGCGGCAGGAAGAATTTTTGGAGATACAGAGCAGGTTAAGCCGTTGATAGAACAGCTCATCTTCGAGCAGGCTACACAAGAATGTAAAACAGCAATTGCCCCTAGGAAAGGAAAAGGTTTAGATGATTGGCTCAGGGTATGCAGAGAACTCGGAGGACCGCTTACTAATGCAGGCTTGGCGGCTGCCATTCTTCAATCACAAAGAAAGCCGACGGGCTTCAAGGATCGGAGGCTCTGTTTTAATTGTGGAAAGCCAGGGCACCTAAAAAAAGAATGTCGAGCTCTAAAAAAGGGTCAGGATACTATCTGTGCCAGATGTGGGAAAGGCTACCATAAGGCAAGCCAATGCAGATCCATAAGAGACCTTAAGGGCAATCTCCTTCCCCCCCGTAAACCAGGTACAGCTGACCAAGAGCCAAAAAACGGCCAGGTGGGCCCGGACTCAATTTGCCAAGGCCAGTTCCGAGGAGGAGACGACTCCACAAGAGACGTCAGGATGGACTTGCGTGCCGCCACCTCAGTCCTACTAATGCCACATATGGGGGTCCATCCAGTGCCTGCGGCACCTTTGCATCCCCATTGCCTGATGGTATGATAGGACTTATAATAGGCCGTGGTGCCCTTACTGCGCAGGGACTAATTGTACATCCTGGAATAATTGATAACCACCATATTTCAGATATTCAAATTCTTTGTTCCAGCCCCCAAGGTGTTTTCTCCATCCATAAGGGGGATAGGATAGCTCAGCTTGTATTGCTTCCAGCAAAAGATCAAATTTCACAAGATATAAAGGGTCCAATGGGATCCACAGGGACGGACTCGGCCTATTTAACTGTGGCACTAAATACAAGGCCTAAGTTAACTCTTAGAATTAATGGCAAAAGTTTTGAGGGCATTCTGGATACAGGGGCTGACAAAAGTATTATTTCAACACATTGGTGGCCAAAAAGTTGGGCGGTCACACAGTCCTCTCATTCTCTACAGGGGCTGGGATATCAATCCAGCCCTGACATCAGCTCTAGTGCCCTAACTTGGGAATCCTCAGAAGGGCTGAGAGGCCAATTTACCCCCTATGTCTTACCCTTACCAGTTAATTTATGGGGTAGAGACATCCTAACAGAAATGGGCCTTACCTTAACCAATAATTATTCGCCCTCAGTTAGAAACATGATGGAAAAGATGGGGTTTCAAGAAGGCCGGGGCTTGGGACGTCTTGAGCAAGGCAATCCCCGCCCTATATCACCCCGACCTCATAAAGGTAAAATGGGCTTGGGTTTTTTCTTGAGCGCCACTGAGGCAGCACGACCCATACCATGGAAGACGGAGGACCCGGTATGGGTTCCTCAGTAGCCATTAACCTCCGAGAAACTGAATGCCATCATGAAAATAATTACAGAACAGCTTTGCCTTGGTCATATAGAACCATCCACTTCGCCTTGGAATACTCCGATTTTTGTTATCAAAAAGAAATCGGGAAAATGGCGCTTGTTGCATGACCTAAGGGCCATTAATGCACAAATGTTACTATTGGGTCCGGTCCAGCGAGGATTGCCTCTACTCACTGCCCTGCCAAAAGGGTGGCCCCTTCTGATCATAGATATTAAGGACTGTTTTTTCTCCATACCCTTACATCCCGTTGATCGCCCGCGTTTTGCCTTTACGGTACCTTCTTTAAATCATGCAGAACCAGATAAGAGATACCAATGGAAAGTTTTGCCTCAGGGAATGGCCAATAGTCCAACCATCTGTCAGCTCTTTGTTGATCAGGCACTTGCCCCAGTTAAAAGACAGTTCCCGCAGGTCCTGTCTATCCATTATATGGATGATGTGCTGTTATGTCATCAAGACCTTACAGTTTTACAGCAAATGTTCCCTGTCTTACAAAAGCAATTAAGTCAATGGGGACTTTCCCTAGCCACTGAAAAGGTACAAATAACCAACTCTGGATCATTCCTGGGCTCGGTTATCCGACCTGATTTCATTAGACCACAGAAGGTTGAAATTAGAAAAGATAAGTTACAAACTCTAAATGATTTTCAAAAGTTATTGGGTGATATTAATTGGCTAAGACCTTTTTTAAAAATTCCCACCATTGAATTAAAACCTCTATTTGATATTTTAGAAGGGGACCTGCATATCACCTCCCCAAGGAAATTGGATCCCTCGGCAAGCGAGGCTCTTTGCAAAGTCGAGAAAGCTATAACTCAGGCCCAGCTGGATAGGATAGATTATACCCAGCCAATTTTGTTATGTGTCTTGAACACACAAGGTCTACCCACCGCCGTTGTTTGGCAACAAGGGCCTTTATGCTGGGTCCATCCTCGAGCTTCCCCTGCTAAAATTGTTGATTGGTATCCAGCTGCTGTTGCACAATTGGTTATAAAAGGCATTAAAATGACAATAGAATACTTTGGTCTGGAGCCTAATATCATTATTAGCCCCTATACTCCGGATCAAATACAGGTTTTGGCCGCCACCTCTAGCGACTGGTCAGTCCTATGTGCTTCATTTTCAGGGACCTTTGATAATCATTATCCCAGGCATCCACTTTTACAGTTTGCTTTGGCCCAGCCTTTAGTTTTCCCAAAAATTACCTCTAATACCCCAATTAAGAATGGGATAGTAGTATATACAGATGGTTCTAAAACAGGACAAGGGGCCTATGTTGTAAATGATATGACTTATATAAAACATTTTCCTGAATCTTCCCCACAAGTCGTTGAATGCCTCGTGGTATTGGAAGTTTTACAACAATTTATGGGCCCACTTAATATTGTTTCAGATTCATTATATGTAGTTAATGCAGTTAAAATTCTTGAAACTGCCAGGTTGATTAGACCTTCTAGTAAGGTGGCTCACATATTTGAAGCCATTAGAGCTGCTCTGCTGCAAAGGTGGCATCCTTTCTTTATTGAACACATAAGAGCTCATTCTGGTCTTCCCGGCCCCATGGCAAAAGGGAACGCGCTCGCTGATCAAGCCACTAGACTTGCAGCTGTTGCGCTTTCTTCACCCATAATAGCTGCAAAAGAATTTCATAATAAATTTCATGTTACTTCAGAGACATTACGCAGACGCTTTTCTTTAACCAGAAAAGAAGCTAGAGATATAGTGATACAATGTCAAAATTGCTGTCAGTTTTTGCCTGTCCCCCATCGAGGAATTAACCCGAGAGGTTTGATCCCCTTACAAGTTTGGCAAATGGATGTTACCCATTATGTCCCTTTTGGTAAGTTGCAATATATACATGTTTCTGTTGATACTTGTTCTGGAATATTTTTTGCCACCCCACTTTCAGGAGAGAAGGCTTCTCATGTGATTCAGCACTGTCTTGAGGCCTGGAGTGCCTGGGGCAAACCCCGCTGTCTTAAAACCGACAACGGGCCTGCCTATACTTCACAAAAATTTAAACAATTTTGTGCACAAATGCAAGTTACTCATATTACTGGATTGCCCTATAATCCTCAAGGTCAGGGCATCATTGAGAGAGCACATCGGACACTTAAATCATATTTATTAAAGCAAAAAGGGGGAGCAATAATGGAGCTACCCCTGGACCGAGAGTGGCCATAGCCATGTCACTCTTTACCCTGAATTTTTGAACTTGGATGATTCAGGGATGAGTGCGGCTGAGCGACATTGCACAGAACCTAAAAGGCCCAAGGAATGGGTGAAATGGAAAGATGTGCTAACTAATCAATGGAAAGGCCCGGATCCTATCCTGATAAGGTCCAGGGGAGCTGTCTGTGTTTTTCCACAGGATGAAGACAATCCGTTCTGGGTTCCGGAAAGACTCATTCGTAAGATGGGGAAGGAACCCTGATGATAATGATCATGGCTCAAGCCTGGAGGGCAACGGGAGAAAGAAGATGGGGAATCATGTCGACCTTTCCCCTCCCCATGCCGGTGATGTATAATGCACAAGTGTTTCCTAGATTTTTTCCACCAATAAAGAGCTAGGGCTAGCTTATTTGCCCCAAGATAATCAGATTCATGCAGTACAAGAAAATCGCTCCCTCTCCTTAAGAGGAAGCTTATGCTTTCATTTTTCCAAAGTAAATGATAATAAAAATAGTATTAACTGTGTTAATTTGAGGAATCAATCAGCTGCCCGGCAAGGCGAGGCTAGTTGGGGAACTGATTTAGAGATTGTAGCCAATGCATCCATCCTTTACGGATGGTGGCCGCTGCCGGTTAGTACTAATGCTACTCCCCATGATCAGCCAAAGTTAGCCCCATTTTGTAAAGGGATTCAATCAGAAGAGTATATCCTGCCTTGGACTGGATGTCAATTTAGGTATCAACACTGGGTAGGCCCTAATACCTTCACTTTCTCACCCAGCCTAGGGCATCATTTTTTGAATATGACACCCTTGACAACTTGGGTCAATCCCTTTGATCAATGGCTACTATGTGGCCTAAATGGAAGCTGTACTGGATTTGACTCCTATGGTAATGATAGGAGGAGGAGCTGGGGAAAAAGGACAAATCTCTTACAATTGGAAGGGCAAATTTTCGGGGGGATCTGGCTCCGGCACTTGGCAAGCTTCAGATATGAAGCATAAAGAATTTATTAGAAAAGAATATGCCCCATCACCAGTTTGTGTTTGGCCCCCCTTTTATGGATTGTAAGCAATAATTTTATAGGTGAGAATGAGGAATTAAGATGTGATACCAAGAGCTGCTTTTATACATTATGCTGGGATGCCACGAAATATTCTTATGCTGTAGTGACTAGAATGCCGAGGTTTGTGCCCGTGCCGGTGGAAGCCCCGAGTAGCTTGTCTCTGCTACGCACAAAAAGAGATTTCGGCATCTCGGCCATAATTGTAGCCATTGTGGCCACTACAGCAGTGGCTGCCTCTGTGACCGCCTCGGCAATGGCCCTATCCACATCTGTACAAACGGCAGATACTCTTAATGGTCTTTCATCATCAGTATCAGTGGCGCTCGACCGACAAAGTTCGGCAAATACTCAAATTCAGGGAGGGTTGATGCTGGTTAATCAGCGCATCGACCTGGTTCAAGAACAATTGGATATTTTATGGCAATTGGCGCGGTTAGGATGTGAATATAAAATGCCTGGACTTTGTGTTACATCAATACAATATGAAAATTTTATTAGAGCGGCTAATTTGTCCAAAAGTCTTTCTCAGTTCATTTTACAGAATTGGACATTCGAATTTGAACAGATACTGCGGGACTTGAGAATAGCGATCCTGCAGGTTAATTCCACCAGAATTGATGTCTCCCTACAAGAAGGACTGTCGTCATGGATCTCTTCTGTCTTCTCTTATTTCAAGGAATGGGTGGGGGTGGGACTCTTCGGGATGTTTCTCTGCTTCGGAATGGCAATTTTATTCTTTTTGTTTTGCAAAATGTTCAAAAAGGCAAAAACAGATAAAGTCATGATTACACAGGCACTCGCGGCTCTAGAGTATGGGGCCTCGGTGGAGGTCTGGCTCACCATGTTAAAGCGTGGAGAATAGCCTTTGATTATCCCCATTTCATTCTGGCTTTCCCTGTCACCTTGGCAGACTCCGGCTATATTTCTCTGCCCCTGCTTCAATAGATCAGCCTTTGCACCTCTGAGTCCGAAATGTTTTGGACATTTGCACCAGAGAAGGTGATCATTGATATTGCAGCCTTTGCACTCCGCTGAGCTCGTCTCATTGCACGCGGAAAGGTGCTATATGGGGTATATTCATCTGTTTCGAACCCTGATGGGCTGCAGAGCCTGACGGTGATCAACGGATGTAGGCCATTCATCTGGTTTCTGTCTCTGGTGACGAGGTGGCCATTAACTGTCGGCAGAACAGCCCTTGCACCCTCAGCGACTTTGTTGCATTGCACGAGGATGGGTGTTTTAGCCTATGCAGCCCAGTTGGGACACTTTTATGTGCTTTTATTAAAATAAAAAGGGGGAGATGTTGGGCGCTGCCCTGGAACCACGCCATGGCAAGATGGCGCTGACATCCGCCTGAGAGTTGCTATAACAACCCTGCTGCGCATGAGCAGGAGCTCCCTGCCCACGAGGCCGGGGGTGCCTGTGCCTTACGTCACCTCGGGTGACATAATTGAACCAGTAAATAACTGCCACGTCCGAGGCGAGAGAAATCCTCTATATAAGGAGAGTCCCGTTAGGGCGTGGGGTCTTCGCTTTGTGATAGCTTATGCTCCCCCTCTCAGGGGCAATAAAGCTTACTGCAGAAGGATCCTGATCGTGTGCCGCGTCATTCTTGCGGGTGAGATAGAGCGCGGGACACAGGTGCTCAGCCAAGAGCGATGCCATAGTCTGTATTCATTGGAGCCTCTGTAAAAATCTCTTCTGTTTATAGTTTTCTATGCAGCCTTTGGAGTGCATTGCATATTTAGGTCTTCCTTGGCTGTGGCCAGTATTGAACTACAAACTTCTGCAGTCTTGCTCTTTTTCCCTGAAGGTATTAAATCCGTGCACAGGAAGCTGTTGTCAATGGTGCCCTGAGGACTCCTCTCTCCTCTCCTACCTTCTTAGTCTGAAGTGGGTCAGGCTCTCTGGAAGATGGCTCTGCCACCCTAGCTTCTCATTCCTAGCTAGCATTCAGATAGCATGATTGCTCTTTTATCTTTGAAATTATGGAGGAACCAGTAGGTTCCTAAATCTCTAGTGTAAGGAGCCTTTCTTCCCAACGGCATATTCCCATATTTCATCCAGGTTATGCTACAGCTTTATTTTTAACTCTCAGCTCTCAGGTGTTTGACAATTTGGTCTGTTGGTGGCATGGGGATAGCATTTTAAAGAGAAATTTTTATTTTTTGTGTAAAACTTGCACATAGGCTGGGAGGTGGTAGCCCATGCCTTTAATCCCAGCACTCAGGAGGCAGAGGCCGGTGGATCTCTGTGAGTTCTAGACTACAAGAATTAGTTTCAGGACAGCCTCCAAAGCCACAG